CCTTGTACTATGGTGAACACTCAGAATTCTCTATCACAAGCCACACGCGTTTTCAAGTAGTAATAAACACCCCCATACTTCCCTCCAAACAAGCCATTACAGTTACATCCCCACCAACCTCCAAGGCAGAAACAAAGATGTGAGCTGATGCTGACTTCACTTCTCCCGGCGTGCGGCTGGGAGCAAGTTGGCTGTGTGGTGCCAGGCCTTGGGCCACCAGCCCTGCATGTTCAGGCCAGCACTCCCCAGTTCACACGCGGCCCACGGGAGCTGAGCACAGTCCCATTTTCTTTGGGAGCTGGTGGGTGCTGCCTGAGGCTCAGGAAGTCCTTGATGTGCAACACGGTATGCATCTGGAATGTCCACTGAAGGCTGTCCAGAGCTGGGCTCTAGGGCACCAGCTGGCTCAGAAGTGGGATTCATAGCTGAGTGGACTATTGGGAGGTGGGGCCCAGGGGAGGGGAGGGTCACCTGGGCCTGACCTGAAGGGATCACCTAGGTGGCAGCTTTGACCTGACACCCTCCCTGCCGCCTGGACCAAAACCTCTGGACCCTGAGCCAAAATGTCCCTCCCCCTTGACGTTGTTTTCTGCAGCACTCTGTCACAGTCACGAGCGGCTAACGCGCAGCTGAGACCCGAGTCCCTCCTCAGCTTGGGGGGATCCTCCCGTCCGCGCTCTGACGGCTTTCTGTCTGCCGCCTCTCCTCGTCTTTGCCCTATGACCTGCAGGTCGGCTCATCCTGAGTCTGCGTCCCCTTCTCCACTTTCTCCAGGATCTCCACCTGCGACTTCCTGCGCACTGAACATGACCAACCTGGACTCAGCCAACGTCTCCTCTTCACAGCCTCTGCCCAGAGTTTGGAAGCATATTCTCCTAGTTTCAAGTTCATCGTGACATCTCTGATCTCACTGAGAACGCACCTCTGAAACCACGAGCCCAGAGAGACTTTTCCTCCTCCACTGTCCTTGCCGGCCTCTCGCTCCCAGCAGAGAGCCAGCTGACTCCAGAAACGTGCGGCATCGACTGTGTTCTCCTTATTAGATTCCTGCAGAATCAACAAATCATCTGTGCAGATATTTTACTTTTTATGATGTGATGATTTGTTCAGTAAAAACCCATCCTCTTTGTTATAGGATAAGAAGCCTGCTTCGAGGGGCTTGGTCTTCCAGGGAGTGGACGAGGGCCGGAGCCTTGGGCCTTGTGCTGCAGGTGAGATCCATGTCCCCGGACTTGGCCTCCAGCCTTAGGAGCTGTCTGATTTTGTTTTGTTTTGATTTTTGCACCAGGGATTGAACCCAGGTGCACTTAACCCCTGACCTCCATCCCCAGCCTTTTCCATTTTTCATTTTGAGACAGGTCATGCTAAGTTGCTGAGGCTGGCCTTGAACTTGCAATCCTCCTGAACTTGCAATCCACGAGTCACTGGGGTTACAGGCTAGTGCCCTGTGCTGGCACCTCAGGAAGCCTGTGTTCCATGATTACTAGATGGTAGATCACAGTTCTCCTGAACTTATGTAAATCATCAAGTAAAACTAAACTTGTTTTGCAAACCAACTGATTTTTCTGTGGTGATTATCTTTGATAGAAATTGATATGAACATGGAGAGAAATTAAGTTTCTAAAGAAAACTCTGGTGCACATGTTGTTAGAGTGTGGCTCTGTTCGTTGTTCCTCAGGTTTTTGGCTTGGGGATTTGGGGTTTGGGAGTTTGTTTGTTTGTTGAATCTACCTGTAGACTGGTCTACAAATTCTTCTTGGGTCCCCCAACCCAGCTTTCTTCCATGGAATATCTAAGAACAGGGTCTGGCCTTTCCTGACGTCCAGCCACCGAAGCTGCCCAGCCTGAGGTGAAGGTCAGACTCCACCAACTGCCCAACGCTGTGCCGAGACACGTCAAACCACCCCCAGATGGGGATCAACTGGAGACAGACTCCACATCACACTGAGATTCCGGCCCCTTTGACATTCCTCAAGAGGCACATTTTAGAAGCACAATCCCCAATGCAGAAAGGTTCAGAGTGGGGCTTTGAGGCAGTGATGAGATTCTGAGAGCTGTAACACTGGTGGATCAATTCACTTGATGGATCAACAATCTCACTGGATGACTGGGTGCTAAGTGTAGGCAGGTAGGGTGTGGCTAAGGTCATAGGTCACTGGGCATGACCTGGAGACTATGTCCTGTCCCTGGCTTCTCTCTCCCTCCCTCCCTCCCCCCTCCCCCTCCCCTCCCTTCCATGAGCCAACAGCTCTCCTCTGCCATCCCCTG